GAAATTAGACTCTGGATGGAGTTTATCCTTGGCAGTCTTACAATTTGTCGCTGACTGATATTTTTTAAAAACTGTTTGTGAAAAAAAAATGCCAGAGCAATGAATCCTGCCTAGAGTGGGTGCACAGGCAATTAAAAAAAAAGAAAGATTTTTGTGCTTTTTTTCAACATCATTTGCACTTTAGCCAATGATATGCACCTAAATAGAACTGATGGGGTTGAGGACACACACACCTACTTGGTGGTACCTTCTAAGCTTCTCCAACAGATAAAGTTCTCTCTTTCAAGGACAACACTTTTATGTCAGGTTTTATCTGAACACAAGGGAGGTTCCCATGCAGCTGCTGACATACAAAGGGTCATGGAGAGATGTTCATAAGTTCCTCAGTCAGCAGATCACTTCTATCTCCTCCTTACCCCTCTTCAAAGCATAAAAAGCCTGGGATATTAATTGACAGGCAGCTGCAGGCAGCTAGTGTTACTACACACAAAAGAGACCTCGCTCAAACTTATACAAATTTGGGAAATGACAAGTTAAGTTACTGAACCCTTTTTTTTTTTACCCACACACCCACTGGGAGACCCTCTCTATTTCTAAAGCTTCCACATGTCACATACAATAGCCTTAACTCTGTTCCCTAGAGATACTAGGGTTGGCAAAACTGCACGCTTACATAGCTATTCAAAGTTAACTTGGGTTTCTCTCATGGCACTGTTTTATGCTGGGTAGACACTTCCTGAAATAATCCACCAAAAGTTGCCTCTCAACAGAGATTAAACCTGGAAAATTTCAGTAAAAAATGTGTTTGTGACAGCCACGAACAAATGAAAAAAGGGTTTATAACAGAAGTAGCATTTCAGTTCTTAATAATTGCTGTCACTCCCAATATAATACAGAAACAGTTTAGTAATATTGGCCTTAAAAACACCAGTGTGATAAATATTTGTGTTACTTATTTTGAGTTAAAAGCTTAGTGATGAGTTGTCCTCATTCCCAAAATGTAAACATCATTGTTAGACTTTGTGTACTATATCTGCATTGTACTATATATCTTTGTGATTGGAATCACCTACCCTCTTTGTCTCAGTTCTAGTTTGGCATTGCAAATGTAGTCTCCAGTGAACAGCAACAAACACACTTCTTTTATTTTAATTATACATATACTCCTCTATACAATACACAAGTTAAAAACTGCATTAGGCAGATCCATGGAAAACAAGTACAGGGGTAGTAGTTGCAATCCATTAGCCTGAATGGGGTATTCTACTTTAAATAGTCATTTTAAGTTCAATTAATGTAGAACAGAGAAGGTAACATGACTTCCTTCCTGTGTTATAGGAATTTTCCTGTTGATAAACACACATTACTTTATGGTTTAGTTAACGTCTTATGCTTATATTTTGGAAAGTAAGATCTTCCTGTATGAAAAGGCTGGTCACTTAAATCTGACCCCAGAAGGCAAGCCACTTCATACCTTCATGATATGTTGGCACTAGAATTCCAGTCAGTTATTTAATAAAAACACCAGTTTACTGTCAGGGCTATAAACTGTACAAACCTGTCAAGTTACAGATCTGCCTTTGCACTGAGCATGATTGTAATGTTCACAGCTTGTACCAGGGATCCTGGTTTTCCGTTTCCCATATAAAAACAGAGAAAACCATGGATTTCCCCTTTTTATCAGAGAAAACGTGTATTTCTCCTTTTAGCAGAGAAACCCGCATATTCCCTGCTTTGGTAAACAGCTCAGCTCTGCAGGCTGGTAGAGCTCCAACCTGCAAGAGCTGTTTGCAAACAGGGTGGGAAACCCCAGCCTGCCCAGAGCGGGAGGGGGAAGGGCTGGGCCTGAGGCTCTCACTCAGCCACAGCTTCACTCTGCTCAGCTTACTTTTTGCTGCTGGAGCCTGAGGTAAGTGGGGCTTGCAGGGGGCTGGAGGCCCCTCTGGCAGGGCTGGAGGGTTGCAGTTGATGGCTGGAGGCATCAGTAGGGCTGGGGGGGCAGGAGCGAGCCCTGCCCCCACCCCAGCAGGCAGCAGCAGTGTGGGAGTCAGCTCTATGCTGCTTCTGCTGCAGCTGCATGATATTGGGGGCAGGGAGCTGCAGACTTGGGTCCCTGGTCCCATAGCTCTGGGATCTGGGCGCCCCCTGTGGCAGGGCCGGAGGGCAGGAGCTGTGGGTGGGGGCAGGAGGCACAGGTAGGTTGGGGGGCTGTTGTGGGGGCAGTGAGGGGCACCAGCAGGGTTGGGATGGCATGGGGGTGAGTGAGGGGTACCAGCAAGGCTGGGGGGGGGTCATTGGAGGGCGAGTGAGGGGCACCAGCAGGGTTAGGGGTGGGGCTGCAGGGGGCTTTTAATTTTAATAATGGATTTTGGGGTTTTTATCAGAGAATTTGTTATTTTTTTTATCAGAGAAAACCAGGATCCCTGACTTAGAAAAGGATTAAAGTCCTTTTATGCAAAGTTTTGCTGACAGTAAAATTACCTCAGCCTTTCTTTCATGTGTAACTGTGAGGTAGTGGTGTACCATATATGAAGGTGAGTCTCTTGCACACACACACATATACGGAAGAAGGAACATACATGATGACATGATGTGACTCTGACTTATTATTAGACACTTTGAGACTTCATTAATCGTGAATGGTGAAGCCATGAAGGAATTACTCAGACCCATGTGGAACAAACACTGATTAACCTTTTATAGTACATCATTAATGATTCTGTTTGCCAGAAGTTTAACAGAAATATTTTAAGAAGGCTGTAGAGTTTTTAAATGATCCAATGATACTCTGTTTCCTAGAGTCCAACTATATAAGCCTTAGAGGGAAAAGAAACTAATATATTTTAGAGAGTTATAAAAATACACTTCAAATATATTGTCTACAAAGAATAATGCTGTATTTTGAAAGTCTGGCTTTATTCCTGCCTTCCTAAGTCAGTGATATGCCCTTTAGGAATGTGATACTTACCATGTCCACCTACTTGAGACCACCAGTGTGCTCCAGAGCTAGAAGTTCACTTGCCCAATGGTTCGAGAGCAGGTGCTGGGTATGACTCCAGAACAGTCTCATTAACGCACCAGTGTGCATATCAATGGACTCAGGTCAGTGGGGCATAGGTGAGGCATGCTCAGGCCCAAGACCAGCCCAGTATGGTGAAGAGTTTTTGGTAATATTGGCTGAAATGGGCTACATAGTTATCCTATGGATAACAGGAACATCTGTGTAGTTGTGAAATGGTTGCACATTTAGGGCAAAAAATTCTATCTTCATGAAAGAAATCTCATCCACATAATTTACTTGACATATTTTTTTAAAGATAATGAGGTTCCAAGGCTCACCTACAGCTGAGAAATGCACAGTGCAACTCAGGAAGAGGGTGCATATACAGCTCTCAACTGCTTTGCAAGCTTCCAATCAGGAACAGCAGCATTCCAGCCCTTTCCCCCAGGATAATTTAAAACAATCAGAGACTTCTCTAAGGCTGAAAAGAGATGTCACATTTATCCTGTGATAAACTTTTTTATCTTAGGACAAAAGTGCAGTCATACAGATGTCCATGTCCACTACCCTGGGATAAATCCTAAAAAGTTTTTCTTGGACTAGAAGTAGTAACAGTTTATCCAGGGATATTTCAAAGTACTTCCGTGCAGTTATCTCAGGATTGCATCATTGAATGAATGGCAGAAAAGCACTGCATTCAGCCACTTATCAAAACCTGATTAGAAGGCCAGTGCGTGTACACACCAAGCGTGGCATAATTTTGATCTGGGATAAACACAGGCACAACTTATCCAGGGACAAATGCAATGTCTTCTCCTAGCTTAAGTTACCCTGGCAGCCAAAGACCACAGGGAGCAGGAGGGGAAGGAGGGGTATCTGATGTTCCATATCATGTTTACTGCACCCATATACCAATTACTGGGTGCATCTACATGTGCGCTTTACTACCCAGTTCACTAATTGGCTCCGCAGTAAAGCATCACCATCTACAAATATTAGGGCTCAGTAAATTAATTAACTCTGCCATCAGGGACAGTACTGTCTTATGTTGGAGTACTTAACTCCACTGAAACGCACGTGTAGACGGTGACAGGGGCTGGCTAGGGCATGAGGGTGCTGAAGTGTGGGGGGCTGCCTCCTGTCTAGCCCTGCACGATAGCACCTTTGTGCCCCAGCCAGCTCCAATGCCACCATCTGGAGCCGGGGTTGACCCCTGCTCCATGCCCCTTGCCTGCCTGGGGCTGCTCCATCCTTGCTCAAACTGTGGTCCTGGGAACACATGTACGCTATGGCCTGGAACACCAGACTCTGGTGCAAACTGCACCAGAGTTTATTGTGTCGTCTTAATAGCATGTGTAGATGCACCTACTAGGAGGAACCCGAGACTAGCAGAGATTTCTCTTACACTATGCTGACCCTCTAAAGATTAACTGTGCTCAATAAGGGACAGCTTTGTACATTATATGGGGTCTACACACGCATTTATAAAGTTGTGCTAGATTCTGATATCTGTGGCGTGCATTTGTTTCGCTTTATTTTCAAAACAGCCCATTCCTCTGAGACTGAAAAACCACCTCACAGAACTCTGCAATTACTTTGTTTTGCTGCATCTCTGTCACTTGTTAAACATACTTACTCTGCAGACGTAGGGAAATCCTAGCTGTGGCAATACAAAATTCCGCAATGTGGCACTATGGAGTTGAACAAGCAGAAAAGCTTTGAGTGCCAGACAGAGGAGTTTGAAAAAACTCGATCATGTCACAACCACTTAACTAAAAGCCTGAGAGATGTTTTATACCCTGTACACTTGCAAGTACATTTTAATTTTTTATGATTTCGCTATTTTCCAAATTAACTTTCAGATTTAACAGGGCTTGACAACCAGATTTGGATATCTTTATACTGAATAGCATGTCGCTGCATGACTAATTCCACTGAAATCAATAGGAGATGTTTTGTGGAGGAAGAAGCTATTTAATGTGAGTAGGTGTGTCTGAATATAGCTTTATCTGCTGCTTATTCACAGGTGGAGCAGTGGGTGTGTCAGTAAAAAGAAAGCTGCATTGTGGGAAGGAAGGTGGACAGTTCTGGACTGCAAGGTAAAAGGTAAGAAATCTTATCAAGGTATGCAGGACAGTAACCCTTCTTGCATACAGGTGGTGAGTGTTTTTTTAGAAAATCGTCAGGAGAGGAACTTCCCACCAATGGACTTCCTATAGTTCAGGGTGTCCAGTGTTATTCTTATAGCTCAGCCAAAGAAGGTCTGAGCTTTGTAAGTAGCTGATCTGCAAGGTACTCTTTTTGATGAAGGATTTTGCTCTAACATCTTCCTTATGGACAATTTGTCCTTCAGAAGTTCACTGCACGAGCCATTCTCTGTCAAACATAATCCACACATAATCAAATTATATGCTATAACATTCATTATAAACACATTTAATGCCTTGGCAATACACAGCAGCAAACCTTGCAACCTACTTTGGAACTGTCCCAATGATGTTTTTAAGTCGGGAATTTCACATAAATAAGCTTTTTTATGCTAGTTTCCTAGGAATTACACCCAGAAGGAAGCACTAGATCATCTAATCAAACTTGCTCATATTACATATGTTACATTCACTAATATCAGGCCTCAAATCTTAGCTTTGCTAGTTATTCAGTCCTCAAAAGACCAATAAAGAGGAGAGACCAGCATTTCGTCCATAACTGAGGTACTGCAGTGTCGGGTAATTGATCAGGCAGGATATGCACAGATGATCTCAGCAGTGAACCACATCTCATGAAACATAATAATATTGATATTTAGATATTTATGTTTACACTGGCATTTATAGGCAACCAGACTGAGCCAGCTGAATTGTCCTCTTCTATCAATGTTTTACTTTGCTCTCCACATTGTATTCCTGCTTCTCATGCAGAGCTCTTCTAGGAATTGATATGCAAACTACTTCTCTCTTCTTCTGTGATTGACTCTAATTATGGACATTAAGATGGTAAGTGGAGTACAACAAGGCTAGAAGTCAGGTACAGAAAAGTGCAGACTTCCCATGGTTAAGGCTTACATTCAGGGGTAAATTCCAAAAATACTATAGGGAACGGCGGGGGAGAAAATATGTAGAGGTGGGGTCAACCTCTCAGCTTGTACTAGAGAGCTTGGTAGAGCTCCCAAAAATGAACAGAAGTGAATTCCTTGAGGAGCTGCTCCATGATTTTCCCCAGATCCTCCTTCTTCCCTTTCTTAAAGATGGGTACCATATCTTCCCTTTTCGAATCATCTGGCACCTCTCCCAACTGCCATGAGTTTTCAAAGACAATGGCTGGTGGCTCTGCAATTACATCAACCAACTCCCTCAGCACCCTTGGGTGCATAGCATCCTATGGACTTGTACATGCCCAGCTTTTAAAAAAAGTCCCTAACCTGTTTTTTCACCACTCTTGGCTGCTCACGGCTTCCCCAAACTGTGCTGTCAGGTGCGGTAATTTGGGAGCTGACCTTTCTTGTGAAGACTGAGGCAAAAAAGGCATTGAGTACTTCAGCCTTTTCTGCATCATCTGTCACTAGGTTTCCTCCTCCATTTAGTAAAGGGCCCACCCTTTCCCTGATCTTTCTCTTGTTACTGACATACTTGTAGAAATCCTTCCTGTTACCCTTCATGTCCCTTGCTGATTGCAACTCCAATTGCACTTTGACCTTCCTGATTTAATCCTGGCATGCCCGATCAATACACTTATACTCCTTCCTACTTGTTTGTCCAAGTTTCCATTTTTTGTAAGCTTCCTTTTTGTGGTTAACTCACTGATGAGCTCTCTCCTAAGCCCAGTTGGTCTTCTGCCATACTTGCTAGTCTTCCTGTGTATTGGGATGGTTCGTTCCTGCACCCTCAGTAAGGTTTCTTTAAAATATGACCAGATTTCCTGGGCTCCTTTCCCCCTCAGACTGGCTTCCCAGGGGATTCTGCCCATCCATTCCTTGAGTAAGTTGAAGTCTGCTTTTTTGAAGTCCAGGGTCCTTACTCTGCAGCTCTCCATCCTTCCTTTCCTCAAGATCCTGAACTTAATTGTCTCATGGTCGCTGCTGCCCAAGTTGCCATCCACTACTATGTTCCCCACCATTTCTTCTGTTTGTGAGCAGCAGTTCAAGAAGAGCATGGCTCCTAGTTGGCCTCTCCACCACTTGAAGCAGGATGTTGTTTCCAACACTTTCTAAAAACTTCCTGGATTGCCTGCACACTGCTATGTTGCCCTCCCAGAAGATGTCAGGGTGATTGAAATCCCCCATGAGCACCAGGACCTGTGATCGGGAAACTTATGCTGGATGTCTCGAGAAAGCCTCATCCTCCCGGTCTAGCGGTCTATAGCACACACCCACCACAACATCACCCTTGTTGCTCTCCCCTCTAATCTTAACCCAGAGACTTTCAACCAGCCTATCTCCAGCTTCATACTGGAGCTGTGGGCAGCCATACAACTCGTACATAAAGCACAACTCCTCCTCCTCTTCTCCCCGCCTGTCCTGTCTGAACAGTTTGTATCCATTTGTGACAGTGCTCCAGTCATGTGAGCTATCCCACCAAGTCTCTGTTATTCCAAACACATCATAGTTCTGTGACTGTGTAAGGACTTTCAGTTCTTCCTGCTTGTTTCCCAGGGTCCATGCATTTGTGTACAGGCACTTCAAGTAACTAGCCAGTTGCCCTACTTTCTCAGGAAGAATGCGAATGCCTCACCTGTTGCCCACTCCTGCTTGTGCTTCCTGCAGGTCACCTACTTGCTCACTTATCTCAGGGCTTTGGTCCCCATCCACTGGTGAACCTAGTTTAAATCCCAGGTTAGTGAGCCTGTCTGTGAAGATGCTCTTCCCTCCCTTCATCAGTGGATCCCATCTCTTCTTAGCAATCCTTTTTGGAACAACATCCTGTGCTCAAAGAAGCCAAAGGCCTACTGGTGACACTATCTGTGCAGCCTTGCATTGATCTGCAGGTTGCATCTGCTCCTGCTTGGGCCCTTCCCCTTGACTGGAAGGACTGAAGAGAACATCACCTGAGCCTGCACCCCCAGCCCCTTTACCCTTGGACTCAGCCCTGTAGTCATTTTGATCTGCTCAGGACCACTCCTGGCAGTATCATTCATGCCCACATGGATGAGCAGCATGGGGTAGTAGTCAGAGGGCCAGATGAGTCTCGGTAATCCCTCTGTGACATCTCATATCTGGGCTCCAGGCAAGCAGCAGACCTCTTGAGACATCAGGTTGGGCAAATGAATGCCTCTGTGCCCCGCAGAAAGGAGTCTCCAACCACCACCACCTGCCACTTTTTTCTAGTGGTTGTGGTCTTGATCCTCCCAACCTTAGGGATGCTTGGCCTGACCTCCTCCAGCAATGGAAAGTGCTCCTTCTCCTCTGTTGCTAGGGCTCCATATCTGGTCTTGAGGCAAATCGCTGCAGCTGGAGATGAAGACTTTGGCTTGCTGTCAGAGGTCACAAGCTTCCAGCTTCCACTTTCCTGGGAGTCCATGTCCTTTTCCTTCTGTAGTACTGTCTCTGGCAGTCCTTCCCCTGCAGTCCTAAAGGTCTTCAGCACTGAATTGATGAAGTCCTCATGATGGTGAGTACTTCCAAGCCTCTCCACCTCCGCCCATAGTTCTGTTACCTGGTCCCTGAGAGACACCACCAGGAGGTGCTGCTAACATCACAGGCACTCCCTCACCTGGTTGTCGGTGGAAAGAAACTGCAAGCCGCTGTCTCCCCAGTCAAACCAGAACCTGGGTGGAAGCCTTGACAGTGAGTCGTCCTGCTTGGGCAAACTCCTCACAGGTACAAGCAGAAGAAGAGCTGGCAGTGGCAGTGGCTCTGGCATTGCAACAGCCTCCAGTTGTTTCTCCGGGACTTTTAATCCACACCCTCTTCTTCCTGCCCCTCTCTGCAAGCAGACCTTCCCTAGCAAACTCCCCTGTAAACTGGGAGTATCCAGCACACCTGTGCGAAGTGGCTAGTATTTGCTTTGGATTTGGATTCCGCCACTTCAGGGGACAGTGATTCAATTCAGTGATTCGAATCACTCCTGATTTGATTTGGCTGAACCTGATTCAGAGACTCAGCAGCAGCCAAGTCTCCGAATCTCTGAATCAGTCAGGCCAGGCCCATCGCCCACCCCTCTTTCAGCCCAGCAATGGCTGCCCAGCCTGCCTCAGCTCCCAGCACTTGAGGAAAAAAAAGCCCCGGATCAGCAGGTGCTACTGGGTGGGGGGTGATCCCTGCTGCCCCGCGCTGCATGAGCCCCTGAACCCCACCCTCTTCGCTCCCCCAGCCCCCTCATGGGTGCCCCGCATGGGCCAGCTCCAGCCCTTGAAGAAAAAAAAAACCTGAAGAAACTCGGGGACTCACCACTGTTGCCGGCAGGGGGCGATCCTTGCTGCCCTGCGCCACATGGAGGGCTCTGCATGAGCCCCCCGAAGTCCCGAGGCTGCACCAGGAGCAGTGTGTCCTGGGGTTTGTCTTGGCTTTGTTTTTTCTTAAAGGGCCGGAGCCCCAGCAGGCAGGACAGCTGGGGGGGAGGGTTGGGGGAGCTGGGGGGGGATTGAGGGGGCTTGTGCAGAGTCCTCCGTGCAGCATGGGGCAGTGGGGATTGCCCCCCGCC